CTTTGAGCGGCAGTTGTCCTATCTATTAAATGATAGCAATCTCAAGACTTCTTTAGAGTTCTATGATTCTCTAAAATCCTCTACCCACAAAGCCAATGAAATGAGATCCTTCCATACGAGAATTATGACACCACCAGATTCACTCCCAGCTCATTCACTTCTTGGACTCTCTCTTCTTGGTCAGACTTGACACTGCCTGTGTTTTCTTTTTCAAGAATCTACAATTGCCTGTCACATCCAGGGTACTCTCCCCGCTTTGGCTTTCTAAGCATACACAGTGTGTCCACAGCCCACAAATCCACCATATTTCTTAGCAACCGGCATCTGGAACCGCCCATTCCAGTCAGACTGCCTTCCTCCCAGACCCTGATTCACCTCCAGCTTTTACCTGCGTGACCTTCCTGTTCCATTGCTGACCTCTAAATCTTAGTGACTTCATTACATGTCTGTTAGAGTCCAGCAAATGTTAAGTTGGTTTTCAACAGATCGTCCCCAAAAAAGAACTTTCTACAGGAAAGAAAAAAATTACCCGTATCGCCACACCCAAAGACAAACTCAGTGACCGTGTTGGTGTCTATCCTTCCAGGCTTTTTTTCGTTTAAAATCTGAGCAGGGTTTTAGGGGATGAGCCACGTAATTTACTCATCAGTTGCCCCTGGATGGTTGGCTCTGGAGGGTGTTTCTCATCTTTCTCCATAGTCTACACGTTGTGAGGAACACCCTGTCGCTAAACCTCTTTACACATCTTTAATTATTTCCTTGGGCTAAATTCCTAACTGTAGAATCACTGGGATTAGAGGCCTTTTGATGATGGGGGGGGGGGGGGGGGGGGAAGAAACCACGTTGAAATCCAAATACTTCCATGAATCCAGGGAGCATGTTGAGTGAGAAAATGACAAGTCCCTTCTTTTTCTTTGGGAACTGACCAGTTCAATAGGCACCCAGGCACCTTTGCTTCTCTCTCTCCTGACGTTCCAGCCCAACAGCAAGCTTCTGAGACCTCTAGGAGGTTCTCTAAAGGCAGTTTGCTATACCAACAAAAACCCACTAGTGTGGCTTTCGCTGGGACTGAGGATTCTGAAACTAAATCTCTCCTGAGTTGCCCTCCCTCCCTCCACCCCATTCTCGGTTGATGGAACTGTGTATTTGGACATGTGTGATTAACTGTGGTATTAAGAAAATATGTATGACACAATGTTTTTTAGCTTTTTCCAGAGATATTTATATCACACAAATGGCATGTTGGTTCCCCCCCCCCAACCACTAAGAATGAATAAATCAATTGTTCTGATCAAGCTAATGGAGAGGGCATGGGCCAGAAAGATAGGCAGGAAGGGGCTCTTTGCTTGAGCCTGCTGCTCCCTTATTTGGGGTGGGGGTGGGGGCCCTGGCCAAGCTGCCTCCTGTCTCTGGGCCTCTGTTTCCCTGTCTTCGAGATGGGCATGGTGCTATCCAACCGCTAATGACTTCAAGGAGGATAAAGATCGTCAGAAGCTTTTGGAGTTCCTTGGAAGAAAGTAGCTGCATGAATTTTTAATCCTCTATTTTCAGCTCCTGAGTGCAGGAGCAGAGCAGTAAGCACAGAAAACTCACCACTGCTTTCTAGTTTATAAGGTTTTTGTCTCACACAATCCCACAGATCTGACCTTAAGCCTTAAGAACGACTCGGAATGGGGGGGGGGATGTTCTTACATAAAAAGTCATGGCTCAGCAAACACCGGGCTCACCCTGTCATGCTGAGGTCATGTTTACACCAAGCAAATATATTTCAAGTTCCTAAACCTTCAGCAGCACTGCAGGGCAGAATGGACAATTCCCACTCAAGACCCAGGATCCCGTGCCAGAATCACCATGGCTCCGAAGAGAGACTTTAGTGAGTATTAATCTGCAACCAGAGCCCGGCCAGCCTCCAAATTCCTTATGGACAAAGCGGGGTTTTCAGGTCCTAATTTACCGAGGTCTCCTAACTTCACTGAGCCGTGAACAAAGGAAAAGGGGACTTCATAAGGACGTAGGACCCAAGCTTGGGTCTCGTTCACTGTTCATCCGTCTTTCACCAAATATTTATTGAGCACCTAGAATTTATCTGGGACTGCGCTAAATGCCGGAGGAGACAGTCGACCACAGCAGCAGAATCCTCCCTTTTCTGGGGGAGGTTGTCGTCAAGTCAAGAAGATGGACATTAATCAGTAATTGCACAAAGAAATGTAAATTTACCACCCAGTTGGGAGAGATGAAAGGAAGGCTATGGGACTGATATGCGTTGTCCTGGGGGATCCGATCTAGTTTGGAGATGAGGCAAGGCAGAGTCACTATATTTTGAAAGGCCCCTTTTAAGAGAAAGTAGTATATTTGGGGATGTGAAAGGCCAGAGTATTAAGAACGAAGGGAAGAGACCTAAAAGATGGAGCTAGGCACACCCACTGGGATGGCCATATTTTTTTAAAAAAGGGAAAATAACAAATGTTGGTAAAGATGTGGGAAAAAATGAGAATGTAAAATGGCGCAGTCACCATGAAACACAGTTTGGCAATTCCTCAACAAGTTGAACAAAGAATGACGATATGACCCAGAAATTGTACTCCTAAGTATATACCAAAAGAACTGAAAACAGATGTTCACCCAAAAACATGTACAGTAAGTCTCCGACTTCCAAAGAAGTTCCGTTCTGGGAGAACATTCGTAAGTCAGATTTGTTCGTAAGTACGACAAAGTGAGTCTTATACACCTTGGACACAAATATACAATATAAAGAATAAAAAAACTAAACACACACATACAAATTCTGTAAATGAACTAGTTTTACTTTTACAGTTACCATAAGGTAGTGGTACAGTACAACAACTGGCATACCGGGGATTGCGTGGAGTGAACTGACAAGAGCAGACGCGTGAGCTACTTCCGCGATTTGTTCACATCTACGAATGTTCGTAATGCGAGGTCCATTCCTATCTGTGCAAGTTTGCAACCCGAATGTTTGTAAGTTGGGGACTTACTGTACACACATGTTCACAGAGCCACTATTCACAACATCCAAAAGTTGGAAACAACCCAAATATTCATCAATGGAGAAACAAAGTGTGGCCCATCCCTACAATGGAATATTATTCAGTCATAAAAAGGAACGAAGTACTGACACAGGCTACGACATGGATGAACATTCAAAACATTATGCTGAGTGAAAGAAGTCATAAAAGACTACATATTGCAGGATTCCATTCACATGAAATACCCAGAAAAGGCACGTCTGTAGAGACAGAAAGTAGGTTGGTGGCTTCCAGGGGCTGGGGGAGGGTGGAATGGAAAGTGACCCCTAACGGGTAAAGGGTTTCTGTTTGGGGTGATAAAAAAGTTCTGGACTAGACAGTAGTGATACTTGCACAGCAATGTGTGTCTACACTTTAAAATGGTTCAAATGGTAAATTTTGTTATGTTACTATAATGATAATAACGATAATGACTTTTTAAAAGATGGAGCTAGGGAGGCAGGCCAAACTCCATGGAGGGAGGTGAAAGGTCTGGACACTGTTTTCATGCTGAGAAGAGTGAACACATCATCGGGGCTCCTGGTGGGGAATGGATGACAGTGGGCGGCGGTGTCAGGATGGAGACCAGTGAGGAGGTGGGAGCCATGACCCAGGAGAGAGATGGTTCAGACCAGTGGGCACAGGGGTGGTGGAGAGAAGTAGGCAGGTTTGAGCGATATGTAGCAGGTAAAAGCAAGAAGACATACATATATTGGTGAGGGATTGGCTACACCATCATTCCAAAGTGACTCAACTCTGCTCCCCCATATACGAGGTATAACCAAAATATACAGAAAATGTTTGAATAAAACAAAATTTATTATAGTAAAAGACACGTGGCCATTAATCCCCCCCCAAAATAACCCCTCTCACTTCAAAGACACTTATCTCATCGTTCTTGCCACTTTCTGCAGCAGTTCTGGAAGTCCTCTTTCGTGAGTGTCTTTAATTGCGCTGTCGTGGCTGCCTCGATGTCCTGAATCGAGGTCTCAGGTCATTTCCTTTCACAGCCATTTTGACTTTGGGGAAGAGCCAGAAGTCGTACAGTGCCAGATCCGGTGAATAAGGTGGATGAGGACACACCATAATGTTTTTATTTGACAGTAATTGACTTACCAGACGCAATGCGTGACATGGAGCGTTGTCATGATAGAGGATGAAGTAAAGACACTCACAAAAGAGGACTTCCAGAACTGCTTCGGAAAGTGGCAAGAATGGTGGGATAAGTGTGTTTGAAGTGAGGGGGCGAATTTTGAGGATGATTAATGGCAACGTGCCTTTTACTGTAATAATTTTTTTTAAATTTAAACATTCACCATATTTTTCGATCACACCTCCTACGTTTGTGCACTTGTTATTCACTGTGCTTGGAGACAGAAAGTGCCTCCTCATAAGGATGCTGGGAAGGATACCGGAAGAAGACTCTTGGATTCAATATTTTTAGATTCTTTTCACTACCAGACCTTGAGCAAGTAGCTTCATTTCTTTGTGCCTCAGTTTCTTCCCCTGTAAAATCGGGACCCTAAGACCTACTTCATACGTTGTTGTGTGGAGATGGTTTTTGTGTGCAGATGGGAAGAACTAAGCGTATGAGGACAACAACACCTGTCCTAGCTATCTCCTGGGATGGAGGGACCCAAATGACTTATTAATCTTTCAAAGACAACACAGATCACCCAAGGAAGCAGCCCATGCCGCTGGGACTGAGGTCACATATTTTAGAAGGGACCTTGGAACAGATTCTCTAAAAGCGGTGACTGTACAATAATCTCGAAGGTAATAGATTACAATTGTTAAGGCGATGATAAGAAGGCGGAGGACTCTAGGGAGCAGTGTGAGATGAGAAGCAAAGTCACCCGTAACGTTACTGTCTTTCGTGGGTACTTGCCCCGCCCACTCCAGCGCGGGCCCCGCCCCCCGGCTAAGCCCCACCCAGGCCCTGCCCCCGATGTTAGCGCGGGCCACGCCCTCAACGCCCAGCTCCCCGAGTCGGAGGCTCCCATCCGCGCGAAGCACTTGGTACCCACGAAGGGATGAGAGGGCATTTGATGAGTGGGGATGGGAGGGCTGGAAATTGGCAGGGTGAGAACTGGGGAGACTCGTCTGAGTTGAATCCCTCCCTGTTCCTGCTCTTCACCCGCCCCCTTGTTGAGGGCCTTGGCTTTTGCATAATGTAAGTACTTATTTAATGCGTGTGCTGGCTGAAGAGCTCTTCATTTGTCTTTCTGTCCTTCATATGCCAATGTGCTTCCGCCTCGTGTCAGTCTAGGCTGAAGCGCCCGGAGAGGAGGGTGCTTCCCAGACGCTCCCGTTCGACCCCAGCCCCGGGCCAAGGGCAGAAAGAGGCTGGGGAGGGGACCGGCGGGACGAAGGGGAGCGACATATGACAGGCTGCTGGAACCAGATCCCATGCCAACTTGGATTCCGTCCTTTTCTCCAATAAAAGGAACTTTTCACTTTTTTTTTTAAACACCCTTTAAATATTTGGTATTTAAAGACACTGGTTTCTATCCATCTGATTAGAGGCATCAGTGCAAAAGAGAAGCTGAGTTCTACACACACACACACACACACACACACACACACACACACACACACCCTCCACCCTAGGTTTTCCCGAATGTAGCTTCTCCAGTTACAACTAGACGCAGCCCCTCCCCCACCTCGCCTCACCCCTTCCTTCCCTCAGTCTTGGGAGGAGCATTCTCCGTGCCTTCCCAAGTCCCCGAGGGGGACCTCCTATGCTGGAGTGGGGTGGGGGTAGGGTCTTCTAACGAAGGCCAGAGAGAACAAATTAGATAATCAAAAGAATTATAGTAATTGCTTTCACTTTTCCCGAGCCCGCTCTGCGGATTCCTCTCCCCCGCCCCTTCCCCGGCTTTCTGTCTGTCGGGAATACTCGGTCTTTCCGACTCCCTCCCCTCCCCCCGGCGACTCCACTCCTCTCCCCTCGCTCCCGCGTTCCCTCTCTTCCTCCGTTTTCTGGTGTGCTGGAACGTTCAGCGGAATATGATGAATGATCACCTGTCACGGCTTGTTTATTATAATGCAGGCAATCAATTACACATCCCGAGCGCTGGCCGGCCCGCAGGAAATTTATATGCTCAGCACAAACCAATGTGAAAATGGAATCTCATTTGCCAAATGTCTTTCTCCCCGTACAGCACGATGATTACAGTCTGTGTTTGTTTCAACAGTCGTGTACAACTGACAGTGCCATCATTTACTGCCGGGCTCAGGTCACGTTACTCTAAGGCTTTATTTATTGTGCTACGATGGCCAGCACAGGAAAAGGACAAGAGTGTCTGTCAGGGATGCCACCTTATTAAAAACTGGGCGGGCGGGGCGTCTTCCTGGGCAGGGCTGCAGCCTCAGCCCCTGGGCCCTGTCTCCCCAGGCCACCTCCCCAAGCATCCTGCTGCCAGGACTCCTAGGCGCGCCCCCACCGGGAGGCAGCTCTGGGTATCAGAAGCTCCACAGGTCCGGGAATCAGAAAGACCATTAGAATTCTAGTTCTGCTGCTCTCTACTTGTGTGTGGCCAGGGATTCAACCTCCTCATCTGGAAAATGGGAGTTTTAATAACCCCCTTGTAGGAATATTGTGAGGTCTGGGTTACCTGTGTTGTCAAATGTTAGTTCTGGCGACTTCACATCTCGCTCTGGCCAGACAGACGACGGCCCACTCATTCGGAGGCAGAGAGGAAAGGCTCCATCAGAAGAGATGTGAGTTGGGATTCATGCCATGTTAAAATCTCCCCAGTCTCCGCTGAGACTTGGCTGTCTCGAGATCTCGTTTCTCTTCTGGGTGGAATTTTGCATTTTTGTTTCCTTTACACTGACACATAGTGGGACTCTGGGAAAGGAAAATGGCTACCTCGCTCTGCCTCCGTTTCTGTCCTTGTAAAATTAGGCAGAGCCATCCTCGCCTTTCTAGCTGTGTGACCTCAGGCAGGCCTGTCCCCTCACCTCTCCAACCTTAGATGCCTCCCGTGAGAAGTGTAGAACGTAATTCCTAAACTGCCTGCCTCTGCCCTGCCGGCGGGATCTAGAGTGCCCATGGGTGTAAAAAGTGCCACAAAAGTGCAGCGGTCACCGCTCTCCAACCTCTTTCTGTCAGGAGTTCCGGGAGGTTCTCAGGGTTTTGCGGCACAAGGCATTGACCCAAATTTGTAGCCCCACAGCCCTTGGCATAAAGTGGGAGACCAGTAAATGAGGGGCCGACAGATTCTCATGTGTATATTTGATGGTTCTTTATCGTTTCATATATTTATTATTTGACGTACGTGTTTGTTTGAAGGCTGTCTGCCCCTCTGGGATGGAAACTCTAGGAGGAAAGGCCCCAGGCTGATTTTGATTAGCTCTGGAGCCCCAGCACATAGCCTCTACTTGGCATTTCCTAAAGAAATCAGTAAATATTTGTGGCTTTAATGGATGAATGGATGATTGGCTATATGAATGAATGCATTACTAGGGCAATCTCTGTCATGCAGAGGGTAGGTCCTGGTGAAGGGATGTTTCCCGGTATCTTCACTATTTCTTATCTTCACAGAATCAGGTTATTTGACATGGGCCCAGCCTTGTCTGGGTACCTGGGGTTATGCGTACTGCCTATATTCAGACGGTGCCAGCTGGTGACAGATCACAGGTGAGTCCGCCTGGCTACTCCTACTGACCCCTCAAACCTACATTCCCCTGAAGAACTCCCAGTCACTCTTGCACCTCATGTTGCCTTGAAATCTCCCCGCTTCCCTAAACCACGGGTTCCTTGTGGACAGGCAGCTACACCTTTATATGTATTTGGGTTCCCCAAATGCCCAGTTGCCATACCTGCCTAAAACAGAAGTTTTCAATCGATCCATAAAGATGATCTTTTCTAAACACGCATGAATGGGATACAACTTAGAACTCCATTAAAACATGCTGGGTCAGGGGAAAAAAAAAAAGATCCGAGCTCATATTTTAAAAAGCAAAATAATTAACAGCTGTGTCGTATATTTCGGTCAAGTGCCTTGGATTTGTGGGAGGGATTTCTTTCTAGAAATATAATTATTAGTTGCCATGATTATAACGATAACCGGGGGGATGGCACGCAGCCGTGCCTCCCCAGCAGAGCGGGCTGGGTGAAGCGGGTATTCCCTCCGCTGACTTGCTTCACTAGCCGACTAACAGACCTTATTCCCTGGCCGAGCGGATCATATCCTGCCAACTCCGGCTTCCCAACATGGAGGGGAAGTGAGAGCAAGTGCTGTGGGATCCTGGGGGGGTGGAAAGCAGCCTGTGATTGCTGCTGCTTTGACAGTTGAGGCTCCGAGAGGGGCTGGCAAACAATGGGAAATGAAACATTTGAGCGGTTGCAAAAAATTCCGTGGGAAATCCCCCCTGGTGGTATTTATGGGCGATGGCTGTGACAAGGGGAGTTGGGGGCTTTCAATTTCAAGGGTTTCTGAGCAGGCCACAAGAACTTCCCCCCGGGGCCACAAGAGAGGGGTCAGTCTGTCTGTCCAGGAAGGATGTGGCCCCGAAAATGAAGGCGAGCTGCTATGGCTTGTCGGGAGCTCACCTACAGCTGTAGAGCTTGGGCCTCCGAACCTTCTGCTCTAAGACAAATCCCTCTCAACTATTCCCCTCGAGTTTCCCTGACCTCAAGAGGCTGGGGGCTTAAATGATTGAGGGGATCTCCCTGGGGCTCAGCCTCACCTGTAGAATTGGGGGGACCTCAGCCCCCTGCAGACATCGTCTCCCGTTTCACTGAAAAACCCCAAATCGAGGCCTCACTGCAGTCCCCATGGCGTTTCCCTGTTAGCAATGGCTCCTCCTGCGTTCTCCATTCCCATTTGTAACGAACATTTATGTATTTGTCTGCTGCTCCCCCCACCCTCATTTGGAGAACAAAGTGGACTTTATTAACCAACCCTTGTTTTGCTTTCCTAGAACTAATAAATATTCAAAATACTTAACCACTCTTGCTAATGCCTTGCTGCTGCTGCTGCTGCTGCTGCTGCGATAGAATATATGTGTTTATAGATCCACTTAAAGGTAAGGTTTATAGATTTTTTAGGGACACTTAGCAGATGAGAAAACCGAAACTTAAAGGGGTTAAATAACTTGCCCTTGTGGATTAGTCATGAGGTTTCAGTTGCAAAGTGACAACCTCCTAACCTACATGGACTGGAGCCAGGTCCAAAATGGACTGGAGTGTTCAACTGAAAAGCAAAGGCTGCGTCAGCTTCAGGCATGGCTGGATCCAGGCCCCCAGGTAGCTCTTCAGGAATCTGCCTCTCTCTACCTCTTTGGCTCTGCTTTCTCTGCACTGGTTTCGTTTTTAAATGGGCTCTCTCCACCTGTTTTCCAGATGTTTCCACATCTTCCTAGAGTCAAATCTCTCCTGGTTGAAGGTCCCGGGGGTAGGTCTGATGGGCTCTGATAGGTTCAGCTACACCGATGACTATGGCAAGGAGGGTGGGTTGATCTTACTGTGCAGGCCCCAGTCACATGCTCACTGCTGGAGCCTCGCCAAACCACATGCACCGAGTGAGAGTAAGTAGTTCCCCCCAAAATATTAGGGTCCTGTTTGCAGAAGGAGGCGGAATGGATGCTGGGCGGGCAGAAAGGCCTGATGTCCTTACTTCCATGTCACACTGCCAGTCAGGGGCAGGCAGGTCTGCACACAGATCCGCCCTCCACCTTCTCCATGCAGTTGGAGACCACCCTGGGGACCCCCTCATGCTCCATCCCATCCTGGGACTCTAGCCACACCCTTGCCCCATGAATTTCTTCTAGTTGGAAGTTTTCAAAATAAGCATCTTTGGAGCTGCTGGAGGGAGGAAGACAGTGCTGAGAAGCAAGAAGGGTAGGTGACAGAAACTCAGAGGCTGTGGCTATAGGACTCCCCCCACCCCCGCCCGCCCCTATTTTAACCATGCAGCAATTCTTGTGTCTGTTTGTATATTCACTTCCCTTATACACTTTTTTTTAAAAACAAACAGCTCGTATTTTTAAAGCTTAAAAAATCTGCAACCCTTGCCCTCTCACCCATTCATAAATGAAGAACAATAGCTCAGGAAGACGCAGGAACTTGACCAGGGCCACCTACGCAGCCACATAGGGCAGAGCGAGTCTGAGAAACCACACCACTGGGTGCCCATGTCCTGCCCTTCCCATTTGCAGCCTGGCAGGTGGGTTGAGATCTGCGGGCACAGACCCTGCCTTTCATCCCTGACGCCTTAGCCAAGGATGCAGGCCTTAACACTCATGGAGCCGCTTCCCAGAGCAGAGCAGAAAGAGGAAACATTCAAGCAGCTTGAATTTTCAAGTCTTGGGGTTTCTTGCACCCGGGCAGGCAGCTGCTGGGGACTCTCTGTAGGCAGGATCCTGCCAGAATGGAGGAAAACAGCCAGATTCCTGCGACTCCCTCTTCGTAGTAGGCGCTGACATCACCACTCCAGGGAAACTTACATGAGTCAGCCACGTGCTCCTGTTCAGGATGTTTACAAACAACTGCTCTGCTCTGTCCTCCCGAGTCTGCAAAGCGGCACCAGCCCTGCCAGGCCTTCAAACACACCTGTCTGCAGCGCCGGTCACTGCCAATCGTCCTAGCTAACCTTTTTTGAGTGCTTACATTGTTTTCCCTGAACGGCGTGCTAAGTGCTTGATAGATTCTGTTTTACTGAACCATTCCAATAACCCAATACAACAGGTATTATTATTGTCCTTGTTTTACAGGTGAGGATACAAAGATGCACAAGAGATGGATGCATTTCTCCAAGATCCTCAGCCAGCCTCAAACTCAGGCAATCAGTGTCTAGAGGAAGAGCTCTGAGTTATATCGCTACGCTAGACGCATGATGCTGCTTTGGACAAAGAAGGCGTCGGTGCTCACCGCACCCGCACACGGACAGACAGAAAGTTCTCTGCTTCCTTCGGGCCTTTCCTTCCACCACCCAGGGGCTCCCAGCCGAGCCTGAGGCTGCTGTGTTTTCTTTTTTCTCTCCCACACTGTCTTGCCTGGTGGCTTCAGCAAAAACACACACACACACACACACACACACACACACACACACACACACACACACACACGGGATTCCAAGGAGAGAAGTACTGTAGGACACAATGGGCACGGCTCATGAGGTGCCAGCAGAATGCGGGGAAGTCAGGTCAAGAGCGGCGCACAGTCCCATGACTTAGGCTACCTTGCAGGAGCTTACTGAATGCGTGTGATTTTTAACATCTTCAAGTTGGATCTCCTCCAGGCCCGCCAGCTGGAGCTCTCAGTCCGACTCAGCTCGCCTTAACTCAATTAACTAAGCTGGGTTGAGCCGGGCTGAGCTGAACTCAACAAGTATTTCTTAAGCACTGAGCTGGCTGCAGGGGAAAAAAAACCAAGAGGGCGAGCCACAGACTTTGCCAGACTCAGCCCTTTAAGGAGATGCCTTGCGCTCTTACAGGATAACACGGTGCCGTGTTTTCTAGGTACCACTGTCACAGGTTTCCACGTCTGCACTCCCCTCTGTGCTATGACTGACTTCATATTTTCCCTTAAATAAATCATTTTTTCTCAAAGTACATGAATTTCCTTTTGAACACTTGAGTTAATTTTTTATTCTTGAGGTGAAAATCATGTAAGATAAAAATCAAGCGCTTTAAAGTGACTAATTCAGCGGCATTTATTACATTCACCGTGTCCTGTGACCATGACTTCTGCCTGGTTCCAAAACATTTCCATCACTCCAATATAAAACCCCACACCCACGAAGAAGTTTCTCCCCGTTCCCACCTCCCCTTCACCCCTCACCACCCCCAATCTGCTTTCTGTTTCTCTGGAATTGCCTATGCTGGATATGTCACATGAACGGAGTCACACAATATGTGGCCTTTTGTGTCTGGCTTCTTTCACTGAGCGTCATGTTTTGGAACTTCATCAACATGGTAACATGTATTAGAACTTCATTCCTTTGTTTTCTTTTCATCTGTTTTTAAATTTTAGATTACAAAGGGTGTTGTAGGCACGGATGAATCGGTATCTGACTAAAAGCGCTGAGGGATGGGAAGGGGACAGGAAAAAGAAAGGCAATGTCTGAATTGCCTTTTCTTCTGAAAACGAAAACTGCACAACTGTGAACCAACATTTAATAGAATCATTTTCAAACAGCTCATGCATCAACAAGGTAACATTCTTTCTAGACAAAAGACAAGACTGAATCCAATAAAAAGTTTCATGATTCCAAGTGAGGGCAGTGGGGAAACAAACCTACAGGATAGTTATGACAGCGTTACAGACAGGATCCTACGTAACTATGCAGTTACTACGTAACTGAACAAATGCTTTGAATTCCTGCCCTCCTAGTCTTCTCCAGTGACTTCTGTGTGGTCAGCCCTAGTGTCACTGTTAACTTCCTTTTTATGGCTGAATAATATTCCACTTTATGAATAAACCACATTTTGTTTATCCATTCATCAGATGACGAACATCTGAGCTGTTTCTACCTTTTGGCTATGGTAAATAGTGCTACAAAACTAAGCTTATTTTAATTAATTAATTAAGATACAATTGACATATAATGTGAAAATATGGAATGTTTCAGGAATTTGCGTGTCATCCTTGCACGGGGGCCATTTAATCTTTTCTGTTTTGTTCCAATTTTTGTATCTGCGCTGCTGGAACAAGCACTAAGTAAGTTTTATTTTAAAAGAAAAATGAATATCACTATTGCAAACGTGAAACCTGTACTTTTCTAATAGATACTTAATAATAACTATTAGGAGTAAATATTTCAGCTGCGCAGCGCCTAAAATCACCCTGCGTACTATCAGGTGCAGCCGTAAAAAGCCTGGGCACCGGAGGTGGTTGGCCTTGAGTTTGAATCCTGGCTTGGCCACCTGCGTGGCTCTGGGCACATGTCCTGTCTTTCCCCAGCCTCAGTTTCCTCATTTGTAAAATGATGATATTTCAACCTGCTTCCTCCTGCGGTCGTTGTGAGAATTGAAATCACGAGTAAGGCGGTCAGCACTGTGTCAGGCACGTAGTAAGGGCTCCGTATGTGAAAGTTGGGAGGTAGGAGCCCAGGTGGTAACCGCAGGGACAGCCGCAGTGCCCGTCGCCGACAAAGCAGGGGTTCGCTGTGTGCCGGAGCTGGGCGAGGCGCCTCACGGGCGTTATCGCGTGCAACCCCCACAGCGTTCTAGGAGGTGAAACTGGCCAGAAAGCGACAGGATCTGCCCATGGTGCACCGAAGGGCCGGGAAAGAGAGATTTGTCAGAATATAACTTCTGCAGGAGAACTTCTGGAGTTTGGAGGAAAATTAAGCCCTTGGATGTTTGTACCCACTGGGCTCAAATATACAATAAACTTGTTACAGAAAATATCGGGCACCTCGTCTATTTGAAGACCTCTGTAGTGGGGTGAATAGTGTCCCCTAAATATTCATGTCCACTTGGAGTCTCCGAATGTGACCTAGGAGGCAGGGTCTTCGCAGAGGTAATCAAGGTAAGGATCAAGATGGCCATACTGGATTCGGGGGTTCTTAAACCCAATGACAAGTGTCCTCATAGAGATGGAAAAGGACACACAGAGGCACCGGGGAGGGGCCCTGGGGAGATGGAGCCAGAGGTCAGAGTGGTGCAGCCACAGCCAACGAATGCCCGGGGCCCCAGAGCTGGAAGAGGCGACAAAGAGCCTCTCTTTGCCTGTTTCCTGATGTACAAAATTGGGGCAGGGTGTGTGTGTGTGTGTGTGGCGGGGGGGGGGGGGCGAATAAATTGCCTCATAGAACGCTGTGGGGGTTGCACGCGATAACGCCCGTGAGGCGCTTTGCCCAGCTCCCGGCACACAGCGAACCCCTGCTTTGTCAGCGACAGGCACTGCGGCTGTCCCTGTGGTTACCACCTGGGTTCCTACCTCCCAGCTTTCACATACGGAGCTCTTACTACGTGCCCGACACAGTGCTGACCGCCTTACTCGTGATTTCAATTCTCACAACGACCGCAGGAGGAAGCAGGTTGAAATATCATCGTTTTACAAATGAGGAAACTGAGGCTGGGGAAAGACAGGACATGTGCCCAGAGCCACGCAGGTGGCCAAGCCAGGATTCAAACTCAAGGCCAACCACCTCCGGTGCCCAGGCTTTTTACGGCTGCACCTGATAGTACACAGGGTGATTTTAGACGCTGTGCAGGTGAAAAAGTTCACAAGTCCAGTCCAGGTCAGTTTAAAACATCCACCTTGCTTCCCTCCACCTTCCCCAGGAAACCTGGCGTGGGGCTGGCCGCCTCTTTTCCTATTCTGCCTCTCTGGTCCCCAAAGCGCACCCCATAGGATGATCGCACAGGCAACCAAATCCGACCAACGCTGCATGACACCCCGTTACCCAGATGCGTTTACTTTAGACTCAGTTGCTGTGTGGATGCACATCCAAGAGCAGGTGGTGGCCAGCCTTACGCAGCCCAGGAAACTCTTTTTCCACAGAGCACGCCGCCACCCTGGTGTTCCCCAGAGCACACTTTGGGAAACGCCACACTATCTAAAACACTGCAAAACATAAAGTATAGCCACATCTTCTATGTATGCATTCCAATAGAAGATGAGTTTTTGAGTAAATACACCAACCCTGGAACAATTTTGGGATTTATTCAGAAAATTGGCTTCCAGATCACCGTGGACAAGACCCAACTTGGCTGGGAGATTGCAATCCCTCGGCAGAGCCACATGGACCGTGAAGCTGGCCAAATTTTGTTCTGAAAGAGGATCAGAGACTAAAACTGCTCTGATTTCCCTAAGCCTTGCTTCAGGAGCCAGGAGGGTGAAACTCTCCTATTGAAAGGTGAATACTTTCAAGGAAAATTTACACTTGTCGTGTAGTCCAGTAATGGATGTAATTATGTTAACGTAAATTCAACCACTCAGCAGAATAGTGATAGTAATAATAACAATAATAATAATAGGAAAGAGAATACATAAATGTAAGTGCCCGGCAAGCCTTCATCTGCCGTTCTCCGGTTATGAATCCGGGTCCATCCAGCGGTCTCAGCCGCGAGCATGAGCCCAGTGCTTAAATATCTGTTTGTTCATATGATATGGCCTCGACAAGATGGAGCACGTCTTCATCTCGTGCTCAGCTGGATGATGGACAACCTTCTCCAACCCCACAGAAAAACCGGCTGCACCGAACTGACCGGGAGAAAGCACCATAGCCTCCCAGGTAATCTTCCCAAGGATTTTCAGAGGGGATTTCTGACCACAGCCCATGTCTTCCTCAGGAGTTCTAACCCTCTGGCTGCACAGCCACATCAGATGTGACGCCACTGCCGTCTCAGAGCAGAACAGGATCTGGATTTGTCCATATTGTCAGATGTGTTCTGAGAGCCAGGACTGATCCTACAACTGGGTTCAGTAGAGGCCATCGAGGTGATAAGATTTGGAGAAAGCCAGCCAGCATCGCATCACACCCCATTTCCCACACCGTTCCCACCCACCGTCCCCCGAAAAAAGCTTAGAGAAAACATTTTAAAATCTGCCTGTGTTACCTGAATGGTAACTTTAATTCTCACTTGTAGAGTCCGGATCAGCTTATCCACTTAGCTAACAGCCAGTAAAGGTCAGAGGAGGTGAGGGAGACTCAGAGGTTCAGGAGGTGGGGAATACAGAGCCAATTCTTACTCTCTCTCAACTTCACCCCCTGCATGAAAACTCCCACGGCCCACAGAATGACATCCAAACTCAAGGACCTTTTTCTGCTGAACCAGCCCACCTCAGGAGCTGAGACCCCAAGACAAGGTCTGGTTCTCATTCATCTGCAAATCTGCCTAGTACCGAGCACAGACTGGGGCAGATAAACTGAAGTTCAATGGATAACTGTCAAATGAGGGGGCAAGTAACCTGGAGAAGACACAGGGACTACATGTGCAAGTGTCAGCATAGTGTCATGTCAAAAAATAAAATAACTGGAGAGCAATTTAAATCTGCCAAATTTCTCGTGGAATACAAAGAAAAAAAAATCCTACTTATAATGGAAGGCAAATCTTTTGAACTTGGATATCTCACCTCCCTGACAGCTAGCCCCCAAATCTCTCAAACTCCCCAAAGCTCTCCTTCAGGTCTAACTTTTCTCATTCCCCTCCCATCTCCCTCTCCAAATACAGCTTCTAGCTTTCCTATAAGCACAAGGGAGCTGGTGGGCAGCATGACCGGGGGTCAAACCTGCTAGATTCAAATGTACTTCGGTCACTCTCACGTGAGTGGGTACCTGGCACGTGATAAGTGCTCAATAAATGAGACTTGTTGTTATGTAAATCCATTGGCTTCTCCAATATTATTATTTTTTTCTTACGTGGTCCACTTTTCCATTAATGCAATAAAAAATGTGTATTACTCTCCCAGGGCTGCCAAAACAAATGGTCACCAACTAGGTGGCTTAAAACAACAGGGATTTATTCTCTCAGTTCTGGAAGCCAGAAGTCCACAATCAAGGTGTTGGCGGGGCCGTGCACCCCCAAAGTCTCTAGGGGGCTCCTTTTCTTTGCCTCTTCCAGCTCCTGGTGGCTGCTAACATCCCTGGGCTTGTGGCTGC